GTTCCGTGAGTGCCGGGTTCGGCTGGGCAAGGGGCGAGCTCGCCTGCGGGCAGGGAGCGGGGTGAAGGGTCCTCTGTGCCTGGCTGGGGAGAAGGGGCCCCGTCCCCCATGTCTGGCTGCGGGGGGGACTCCCTTGTGTTGTGGGGCTGGTGAGGTGTCGTTCTCTTCGGCTGTGGGGTCTCATCCCTGGGCAGACCCTGCATTTGTTTGTGGGAGGCGGTTTCTAGCTGAGGCCCCAGTGGAGCTGGGGGTCACCCCCCACACATTTGTGAGGCTGGAGTTGGGAGCCCTTAGGTGCCATTGTGGTCACGGACCAGCTCCCTCCTGCTGACTTGTCACCCCTCCACTGCCAGCCCCAGAACACACGGATTAACATTGGAAGTGGTAGACACAGCCACCCAGAGACTTGTGGCGGTGGTCACCTATTTTATAAACATCAGGACAACAAACTGGTACCTGAGTCTACAAGGGGATGTTGACATTTCTGTACCCCCACGCACCACAAAAGAAATCTGCAAGTCACTTTATTAACTGACATTGCCAACATTTTTATTGACTTGAAACATAGAACAAAAAGTTAATACAACCAATTTTATATATATATATATATATATATATATAAAGCCCCATAGTACAGGAAAATTTTAAAGTAACTTTGAAGTTGTACAGTTTCTGTTTAACACAGGTTCATTTTTAGCTTTTTTCACCCATTCCCAAAAGGTCTGCAAATACAACTGACATGTTTAAAAGTACCTGTATGATTTGGAAATTTATACCAGAATAATGAAACAATCGTTTAGAAAAATAATCTTGCAGTTTTACTTACACAGCACAGGTCTTAAATTCCCCTCTAATACTGATCCCTTGTTTTGGCTTAAGTGACTTTGCCAGACTTTTCTCCTAAGTGTCCCCACAGGAGTTGTGATGCCTCGGCACTGCAGAAAGCCAAGTTATCCAAAGCTGGGTATCCAAAAATTAGTGAATACTTCTGAAAACTTTACTGTATACACTTCTGCTTTAGTAATAATGGGAATAGTAAAATTGATCTACCTCATGTAGGTGTTGGGAGTATATTAGTACTGAATTGCATTGAACCATAGAGATGATTGGAAATCTAGGGTCTGTATGAGCTGTGTTAAATATGTTTTTCAGTGCTATCAAACTGACACTAAATGAATAGAGTATTTCACTGAAACACAGTAAGTTAACTAAAATGAGCTGAGAGCGCTTCTCAGAATGGTTTGATTTTTGAAAATTGTTTTGTTTTTTAGATCTGTGCTTTGCACTTTGGAGTGGGAGTGGTTCATATCTATCTGTCAGACATGCTGCTAACGAAAGAGAGAATATTAATGAAGTTTGTTCTGTAACTTCTTTCCATGATGACAGACAAATTTGATGGCAGTTTTTTATATTGGGCTCAGTTTACTTTCTAAATAGACAACACGTAGGTAAAGGGGGTTTGGGTCCTACTAAAGGCAGTGCAAATGAAGTGAAGTGAGTCATGTCATTATTGGTTCTGTGGTTTTAATTTTCCTCCCCCCTTTTTAAGGAAATCCCAAATTGTGATGGAAAGTGGGAGATGGATTAGGATTTAAAAGCCTCCTAGAAATAGTATGTTTTGAGGAGGAATTGGGAGGAAAGGGTGGAGCTATGGCCCACCGGGTCAGGAGAGAATTCCAGATAATGGGACAGCATGGGAAAAGCCTGGAGAACAGGAGTAGTAGGACACAAGGGGGTGTATTAGTGATCATGCCACTTGGGTGGAATGTGAGAGTTGGGAGGGAGGTGGTGTAAAGGAAATTATTTAGGCATGAGCCAGCTTGTAAACTGTCAGATGTCAATTATATTGGAAGCCTTAAAGTTTGTATTTATATGATCATAAGAATTACCATACCCAATCAGTCCAGTGGTCCATCTTGTCCAGTTCCTGACAGTGTCTAGTATTAGAAGCATCAGAGGAAGCTGAAAGAAATCCTACAATGGACAGTTAAAGTTTAACCTGCCCATAGGAAATGTTTCTTCCTAGCCCCTGTCACTTAGTGATTGGTTTATACCTTGGAACATGAGGGTTTAAATCCCTTATTAACTGTCTGCCTAATGTAATTGCGTCTAATGTCCTGTCTAATGTAAAACTGGATGTTCTCAGTCATAGATTGGACAAACTTCTTTGAATCTTACTAACCTCTTGGCTTCAAAGATAACATAAAGAATGACTCTACTGGGTCAGACAAGTGGTCCAGTGCCAGATGCTTCAGCAGGAATGAACAGAACAGGGAAATTATCAAGTAATCCATCCCCTATTGTCCAGACCCAACTTCTGGTAGTCAGAAGTGTAGGGGCACCCACAGTATGGGTTTGTGTCCCTGACCATCTTGGCTAATAGCTATTAATGAATTTACCTAATTTTTTTTTAAATTCAGTTATTCTTTTGGCCTTCATAACATCCACTAGCAACGAGTTCCACAGGTTGATTGTGCATTGTGTGAAGAAGTGCTTCCTTATGTTTGTTTTAAACCTGCTTTCCAATTCCAATATTTTTTTGAGGTAGGGCGACCAGAATTGCATGCAGTATTCAAGGTGTGGGTGTACTATGGATTTATATTGTGGCATTATGATATTTTTCTGTCTTATCTGTCCCTTTCCTAATGTTTCCTAACATTGTGTTAGGTTTTTTTTTTTTTTTTTTTTTTGACTACCATTGCACTCTGAGCAGATGTTTTCAGAGAACTATCCACAGTGACTCCAAGATCTCTTTCTTGAGCGGTAACAGCTAATTTAGACCCCATCATTTTGTGTATATATAGTTGGGATTATGTTTAACAGGGATATCTTCTGATAATGAATTCCACATGTTAATTGTGTGCTGTTTTAAGTTTGTTGCTCCAGGGAGGTTGTGTAACAGTTGTTGGGTACTAGGTTAGGATCTGGGGAGACCTGAGTTCAATTCCATGCTCCACCACAGACTTCCTGTGTGACCTTGGTCAGGTCACTTAGCCTCTTTGTGGTTCATTTCCCCTTCTATAAAATGAAGATAATAGCACTTCTCTACATCACAAAGGTGTTGCGAGAATAAATATATTAAAGATTGTGAGGTGCTCAGATACTGTGGTGATAAGTATATATGATAAATAGACAGACCCTAGAACCTGACCTCATATGAGCAGGCTATTCCTTAAGTTTGCTGCCTTCCAATTTCATTGACGGTTTCTTTTTTTCTTATATTATGAGAGAGTAAACAGAAGCACCTGATTTTTACCTTCTCTATAATATTCATTATTTTAAATATCTCTATCACATCTCCATTTACTCATTTCCTCTTTTAAACTAAACAGGCCCAATTTTTTCAATATCTCCTTGCATGGAAGCTTTTCCATATATTTTCATGAATAAATCTCTGGCCCAAATTAACCATCCTCTTACAAAAACTTGTTAACTCCCTTGTCAGCAAAGTGAAAATGAAATAGTCATCCTAAGGAAATTGGATCCCATTCCTCAAAATGATTTTTTAGTTCATGCTTAGTTTAAAGTTTAAAATCCAAACTGTTTACTAGACCCACCTACTAGATTGAGGTATCATATTAGGGATGTTTATAAATGATTTTAAGCACACAGTAAGATGCAGGCTTCCTGAGATAGACAGTATATATGTATACATCTGGAAGTACAGGCACTAAATTGTATCCTTTGGACTTATCATGACATTTCCAGCAAGTCATCGTTTTGTTTGCCTAAATCTCTGAATTTCTCCCCCCTCAAACTACCTAAGATGGCTTCAGAAGGCATCCAGCAGAATGGCTTTCTACTGAGCCTCTGGTGCCCCCAGTTTCAAATTGTGTGACTGCACACCAGAGAATGCACTGCTGCCGACAATAGATTCAAAATATAAAATCAATTGACTATTCACATTAACACCATGAATAAAACATTTCTAACTAGTATCACAGTGTATAGCACTGGCTGGAATCACTGAGCCTGCTGTTGTGGCCCTGTTGCTGCACAAGTATGTGCATCAGCTGCTTTGTAAACAGTGCTCGTGCTGACATTGCAGTTTTTCCTGCAGATCTATTTGCAATAAAGAGGCAGCAGTAGCAGTAGTGTTGTGGTGCTAATGCTGTACTCACCTAGACAAGTTAAGGAGCTGATAAAAATATTGGATTATATTATTCATTTATTTCAGTTTAACTACTGCTTCGGGATTTTATTTTATGCCTTTTCTCAGTTAACAATCATTAGCATAAAAGAGAAAAGTAAAAACTGAAAGATACACAAAAAATCTCACAACAGGCTGTGGCCCTGCATGTGAATCCACTCAGTCATGCTCACATGGAACCCCACTGACCTCAGAATGGGTCTCATTGTAAAATCAGAGGCACAGTCACTACAAATTTAAAACAAATTTTAAATTTTGACCTAAAGGAAATAGAACATCCTTGTGCGCAATTTCTCTCCCTCCACTCCATCCTCCCATTCGTTTCCTTTGTCGTCCCCCTTCTACCAGTCTCCTGATCTGTTCCCTCTCCCTTCACTCATGGTGGATTTAAATCAGCAAGCAGAACACATTTATTTAAATGATTATAATTGTTTCCCATTTGTGTATTAAATTAATTTGCCAAAGAAAAGTTCATTGTCACTGGTTGATATAACCATTAAAACATATTGATTTGATTATTTAAACTAACTGTAGCATGGATGCTAGATGTGGTACTTTTTTGTTAACCAGGAGGATTAACTACAACTATATACATTTATTTAAGCAATTGCATAGCTTAATTTAGATTCTTATTTCTATATTTTTTTCATTATATTAAAATGGTGCATCTTGTATTTCTTATTTACTAGATAATGAACTTTTTTTATTCATGATTTGTGTCCAGCTGAATTTGGATGGAAGATGGAATTCAATTTAAAAAGCACAAAAACAGCATTTTAAGTATTTTTATTGGTTGGGGAAAATCTGGTAGTTTCATTTAATCTCTAATTGTTGAAATTTACAGGAGAGGCTACACTCTGAAGAATGCTAGATGATTGATGAATAATCTGCAAAACTGAAAATAAAAGTAATTAACCCAAAAGCACAACAGAGACTGAAAGACTGCCATTTGGAAAAAGGTAAAAAACAATTTTTCCTCCATTATAAAGAATGAAAATGAAATAGATGACTTTTAGTACCATATTTATAAAGCTTGACCTCAAATGTTAAATGTTCTTCCCCGATCCATTATATTTAAAAATAGTCTTTAACTCATTAAACTTTATGAGGAGGGCTCATTAATTCAGCTCATCATTTTTTATGTCTGTGAAGTATTTAATAAAGTAGAGTGAGTGTAGGCCTTCACGTAAGTTGCTGTCAATTCAAATTTAATTTTAAATACATTTGTTTTTAAAATAAATACTTAACTTAAAATGGATTTTTAGATAAAAATCCGGATTTTTAATTTAAAAAACTCATCCTGCTTGTTGCTGCTGTTAAGGCTTTTTAAGACGCCCAAATGTAGTATCAGGAGTCTGTGATCTCTCCTGGTGCTTAATTTTTAGACCATTTACAATTGCAGGAACTGAAACCCAGCAGGACCCTCCAAACCTTTGAGTTCTCTGGATGACGAGGGTGCGCAGCACCTTGCAAGGTCACACATTAACTAACTTAAACAGTTGATTAGTGTAAAAACTGAGGGTCTAGTTACAGTATAAACAAACATTTTAATGTGAAGTACAAAATGAACAAATTGATCTTGTTCAGAATATTATATCAGAATTGGACACGTAAAAACTTCTTATAAAATAAAACAGTATTTGTCAGTATACTAAACCTATCAGCAAGAGAAATGAAACTAGATTTAGAGAAAACATTTTGAACAATATCTGCAATATATAGTGTTGCATTCTGTTTTGAGTTTCATTTCTTTGTTTTTGTATCTTTCTGCACTTACCAAGAAGTGCTGAGTTGACGTAAATGAAGATAGGGAACCATCATAAATTTTTAGTAATGGAGGGTCTGTGCATATATATCCATTGGAAATACACTTCTGTCATTATAAAATATTCTGGAACATAAACCCTTTCCACAGCTTTTCTCTCTTTTTAATAAGTAAACACCTCTGTGGTGTAAACTCCTCGTTCTGGATTAATCAGATCTGATTAATACAGGGTGAGAGTTCTCAATGAGCTGGAATCTTATTTTCTAATCCAAAGGTTAACCAGAAATGTATAATAGAACAGACCAGACCTTGCACCATGCAGATAGATACTTTTGGAGCTAAGACGATGTAGAGTGCTCTGTAAAATTTATTATACTGCTTTGAACAAAACAAGTTTTATCTTATAAGAAGTGTCTTTTAATTGACTGCAAACAGTTCTTACTGGATGCCTATAAGGATCAGGAAGGTATGCCTACACTTAGTCATGTTAACACTGTGTTCCAATTTGCAGTCATGGAACAAGAACCAGATCCTGCTATTCTAGAAGATGCAAACATTAAAGCTATTAAAGAAGAGTTCAAGAAAGCCTTTATCTTTGTCAATAAAGGACTGAATACAGATGAATTGGGTCAAAAGGAAGAAGCAAGGAACTACTATAAGCAAGGACTTGACCACTTGCTTAGGGGAGTTAGCATTCCATCACAAGGTCCTGAATGTACAGGATCCCAGTGGGACTCTGCCAGACAAATGCAGCAAAAGATGCAAGAGACTTTACAAAATGTTAGAACTCGACTGAATATTCTAGAACAAAATACCCCTGCTATGCAAACTAATGCCATCACAATGAATGTGCCTCTAGAGGTGCCCAAGTTATACCCAGTGATTCCCACTAATGAAAAGCCAGAAAGGCCCCCTGCACCTTATTCTCTGATTCCACTATCTGGGCCTCCTGCAGCAAATGAAAATGTTGCAACTACAAGCAAAGGGCAACTTCCAGCTATGAGTCCTTCATCTCCAAAAGCTCACTCTCTACCACATGAAGCTCCTCCTGTGTATACCCCTCAAGCTACTGATGGACACTATACTGTATCTTACGGTACAGACTCTGGGGAGCTCTCCTCAGTTGGAGAGGACTTCTACACAAAATGTACTCAGCCACCTCCCCTTGAAAGTCTAGGAGTAGATGCAGATGAATTGATCCTGATTCCCCAAGGAGTACAGATATTCTTTGTGAGTCCTGATGGGCAGGTTAGTGCTCCTTCATATCCTGGATACCTGCGCATTGTGAAGTTCTTGGACACTGATGGTGCAATGGCCCAGAATCGTCCCCCTGCGTTTCTTCAGGTAACAGTTGGTGTGGTGTTTAACTTTAGAATACATTGTGTCTGTTATCAATTTTTGCATACCTGCTAGAACTTTGTAATCTGAGCCATTTTGCCTCTTGCACTTCTTCTGAGCCAAAACCTGCTTCTCTTGTGTTACTTTGAAAGAACCTGTAGCTAGTGAAGGAATAGTTCTCTGTACATTTATTGTAGGCATAGATGCCACAATACGTGCTGTTGTCTCTGTGAAGAAATAGCTCTTTTTTGTCTGTCTGAGAGTTCCAGAACACCAAACGTTTCAATGGATTGCTTTTTTGGAATGGGTTGGCTTTTAACACTTTTTTGATCTTGTAGAACTTGTTTTCCCTTTCCTCAGATAAATTTGACCTATTGAATGATATATTGCCATCAACTGAATCTGTGTATAAAGGGTCAGTTTAAAATGGACTTAAATACTTAACTTTCTAGCTGAACATGCCAGTATGGTTTACTTGGATAACCGCAGTTCTGAATTTGTGTTGTATGTCCAACCTACTTATGTAAACTAGGGATGGAACAGACTTTTTAGGTTATCTAGTCCATCTTCTTGCCAGTGCAGCATTGTTTCCTTGTGTACATTTAGTACTGTTTTTCCAGCCTGGCTTCCAACTTCAGTCTCTTCTTTTGAGAGCTTGTTTGTTTGGATCTTCTTATCCTTGTCTACAAGGGGGACGTATTCCCACCATTGGTTCAGCTCCACAAGTGTTAGCAGCACTAGAAGCTCTGGACAGCTCATTGGCAGCCATGCCCATTCTTTACACTGTGTCATGTAAACCTGCTCTGAGTGGAGCAGAATGGCATAGGGACTGTAAATCCAGCACCTGTTTGGCATTAGGCTCCTCTACTGCTGAAGCTGAGTTTCCCGGGTCTCAGTAAAAGGCTGCTGTGCTATATGATGGCCCTGTGAAAGGGAATTTTATTTGTTCCTTATTTAACTTTGGTGGCAGTCTATTGAGAATGATGTATCCCAACAATACACTTTTCAGGATCATTTGAGGCTTTTTTAATAAAACTACATGGGAATCTTGGAGTCTATGATGCTAATCTGTACAGATCCTTTACCCTTCAACTGACATTACTTTTGGCATATTGAAAAAGCATGATTCTTTAATTTATATAAATGAATGTATTTGTCATTTTCAGGTTTGTGATTGGCTGTATCCTCTTATGTGCAACCATTCTCCTGTTCTGTGCTGTAATACTGGAGTCTACATGTTCCCAGATCTGATGTCGCAGGTACCAGGATCCCACGTGGGAGTAGTGCTATCTTCAGAACTCCCAGCAGCTGACAGAGAGCTGTTTGAAGATCTGTTAAAACAGATGTCTGACCTCAGAGTCCAGGTAAATTCTAGGGCAATAGTTTTAAACCAAGGATGAAAGATACAACAAATTGTAACTGCATAACAGGCATAACTTTGGGGTCTTACAGAAGAGTGATCTGGATCACTTGGTAAGCTGGGCAGAGTAATATGCATTTTAATACAGCCAAATGCAAAGGTCATACATTTAGAAAAAAACTATTGTAGGCAGTATTTAAGGATGGGGGACTATATCATGGAAAGCAGTGACTTGAAAGAGGATACTCAACTGAATGTGAGTTTCCCAAAAAAAGGCTAATATGATTCTCCAGGGAAATATTTAGTAGAAGGGCACTATTATCTTGCAGTGGTGAGACCATTGCTTGACTACTGTGTCCAATTTGGTTTACATTTAAAAAAAGATATTTAAAAAAAAAAAAAGGCAGTTTGAGTAGAACTTCAAAAATGATTAGAGAGCTGGAAAGCATGCTTGAACAGAAGAGTTTTTTTTTAAAGAGCTGAATCTACTTAGCTTACTGCAGAGAAGGTTAAGAGGTCACTTGACCAGTCTATAAGCAGCTACACAGGGAAAAGATATCTGATATTAGAGGACTCATTAATTTAGCAGACAAAGGAATAACAAGATCCAGTGGCTGGAAGTTGAAGTTAGAAAAACTCTAATTCGAAATAAGATGAAAATTCTTAACAGTGAGGGTAATTAAGCATTGGTAAATCCATCATCACTTAAAGGCTGTAAATCAAGACTGGTTGCCTTTCTAAAAGATGTGCTCTTCTTTTACCACCAAAACTCAAACTCAGTAGTGTTCATGAAGGACCCAGTCCTGCAGTGTTTTATGTCCAGGGAGCCCCCTTTGGCCAATGTAAAATCCTGTTAACCTCAGTGCAGCACTATGTTGGCACAGGATCCTGTATGCAAGGCATTGCAGGGTTGAGGCATTACTTAACAGGGAAAAATAATTTCTTCCAGTACAGGAATTACTTGGTGAAATTCTGTGGTCTGTGTTATGCGGGAGTTCAGACTAGATGTTCACAGTGGTCCTTTAATGGCCTTAAAATGCCATAAATCTATTAATTTGCCCTGATATGATGATGCAGGTGCCAAGATCCCATGAGGGAGTAGGATTATCTTCAGAACTTGCAGCAGCTGACAGAGAACATTATGAGGATATGTTAAAACAGATGTCTGACCTCAAAGTCCAGGTAAATTATAGGGCAGTGATTTTAAACCAATGATAAAAAATGCAAATTGTCAGTGAGTAACAAGTGTAACTTTATAGTGTTTAAAACTGTCAAATTGGCTTCTATGGTAGCCTGTGGTGGTGGAGTGCTCTGCCACAAAGGAAATGCAAAGGTGAATTCTGGTTCTGGTCTCGCCCCTTAATCTAAAAAGGCTTTGAAATGCTGTAGATCTTACCCCTTGGGAGGGAGTTCCTTCTAGTTAAGAAAACATCCCAACCCCATTCTGTAATCAGTATGCTTGTGATTACATGATAGCACTGAGTACTATCTCAACAACATTTGCTAGAAGGGTGCTGGCAACAGTGAGTTGGGGAAATTCCCAAGGTTCTGCTGTGGATTACTTGTTTAGTGCTTACAGTGAGTCAGCCTGCTTGGATGCAAAGGACCACTGGAGAAGAGGATGAGTGGGGAAATATTTTTAGGAATTTTAAAGAAATATGATTAACTTATTAAAAATATCACAATTAAGAAAGAACACATTATAATTGAGGGAATCTATTTCCTCTATGTAGAACGCCATTTACGGTAGTTTAATTTTTCTCAGAATTGTCAGCCTTCTGACAAGTATTTCTGTAAAGGTTCTAATATTGGTAGAACCAGCCGCCAGATATCTGTAAACTCAAAATATGTTACCAAATTGTTGTGTTTGCTCTGGAGAGTATTGTATATTATTTAGTGCCTACAATATGCTTAGCACTGTGCAATACATACAAATAGTCAGTCCCTGTTCTGAAGAGCTTGTCTAATGGAATGACATGCAAAACATGGGAGGATGACTTAAAAGGTAAAATGCAACAAAACACAGATTCCCACTAATGAAAAGCCAGAAAGGCCCCCTGCACCTTATTCTCTGATTCCACCATCTGGGCCTCCTGCAGCAAATGAAAATGTTGCAACTACAAGCAAAGGGCAACTTCCAGCTATGAGTCCTTCATCTCCAAAAGCTCACTCTCTACCACATGAAGCTCCTCCTGTGTATACCCCTCAAGCTACTGATGGATACTAATTAGAAAGTCACTACTGCTGTGACATGAAAGTAGTAGGTGTGGTGGCTTTCCTTAGCGAGCAACATAGAGAAATGCATGGGAAAGGGTTTGGAAGGAGACCAATGGGACATGAAGTCTGGTGTAAATCATAGAACAGAGGACCAAAAGGGAAACACAGCAAGAGACAGATCTGAGATGTACGCAGATTCATGAAGGGATATTTCCTCTTGGAATAACATGTACATTTGGATTCAGTAATTTTTGAGTTGCAAACATTCAGTATTTACTAGGAAAGTAAAACTTTGTTTTTCTTTTCTTTTTAAAGTACTTCATAAGCTGGTAGTCTTGATTTAATACTAAAAATATATGGTATTCACTATATATTGTTGTGTATTTGCCAGAGGTATTTTTATCATCCATGTCCATGATCAGTAAATCCCACTCCCTGACCTTGCAAAATACTTTCTCCCTTCCTCTTTCTACTAACCAAGTCACCTAATGTTTGCTGTTGAGAGAATCCACTTGAGACTATTATAGTGTTATAATAAAATCATGGAGGAGTTGTGAGTATTTCTTGGCTTTCTGTAATGACCATACTTATGAGCTATCACAAAGTTCTAAGTTATTTCTTTCATTGAGGAGACAGGTTTCAGAGTAGCAGCCGTGTTAGTCTGTATCCGCAAAAAGAACAGGAGTACTTGTGGCACCTTAGAGACTAACAAATTTATTAGAGCATAAGCTTTCGTAGGCTACAGCTATATGCATCCGAAGAAGTGGGCTGTAGCCCACGAAAGCTTATGCTCTAATAAATTTGTTAGTCTCTAAGGTGCCACAAGTACTTCTATTGAGGAGACAGTGCTTTTCAATTTCAAAAATTCTGAGCAATATGCTGAAATAGGATTTGACTGTGAAATGCTCTTCTAAAAAAAAGCTTATCTTTAAAGTTGCTCTGTGTTGGCAACCAACTTTTAAGACCATTTTAAAGAGTGTTTTTTCAAATCCAAAATAAACATTCATACTGCCTTGTCTAATTTTAAAAGATTCTAGAAATCAACATCTAAACTTTTAGTGGCATTTACGAAGGGGGGAGGGGTGGGAAGCATTACAGAGCCGCCTTTGTTGGCTTCTGAATGTTTAGCTAAATTGTTGTTGTGGGTTTTTTTTTATATACAGTACTGATGAGGACATAATTAGCAACTATATGTCATGTCTAACAAAATGACATGAGTTTTACTCTACATTGCAAAACAATCTATTTTTGCTTTATAATGACTCACTTAAGGAGCTTACAGTGTCGAGGATTAGTCAATGATACAAACTATAAAGTAACTTATCTGGGTCCAGCTGTATGTGTTAAGGATTTTTACCTAACAGGTATTTTAATTGTTTACATACAAGACAGTGTACACATTAAAAAATGGGATCCTATACTGTTATCAAACAATAATTGGTCATTTTCTTGGAGTTGTGACTAATATACTAAAGTCACTGACATTAGAATAGTAGGGCAATACTGGAGGTGAATCTCTGCATGCAAATCATACAGATTATGTTGCAGTGTTCATCTTCCAGTAGCACGTTTTTTAGTATCTCTGGCTGTTCAACAGAAAACTAAGGAAGAGCTCATCTATTTTTGGACTTCCTCTCTGTTCACCTTTCTCCTACTGTAACAGTCCTGTTCCATGTCCTTATTTTACTTTATTTTCTGAAAATATTTATTGAAATACACTTCCTCTGATTCTCCTGTCTAGTATTATTTTGTTTTGTATTTTTGTCCCTTATTTGATATCTGTGTTCCTGGATGGTAATTATAACCATTCTTTTCCATTGGTCCTAGACAGATCTTTTTTTCTTTCAGAACTTTTAACCAATCCTCTTTTCAGCTCTATAGATTACTTCTAGCTAAAGAGGGCAGAGAAAATTAAGGCGAGTTTTAACGCTACTTAATTTCAACAGTAAATAATACAAGTACAAGTTAAATACCAGGAGGGTCAAAGTAAAGTCCATTACATACTAAAATCATATTAATTGCAACAAAGTTGCTTTATGAAAAATAGTAGCCAGTCTGGTCTTTGCCACTGCTACTTCTGACATTGACAAACATTGCAGTCTAATCCAAAGGCTTTAGAATGTTAGAGATGAAGGCAGGTAAAGTAGCCTCCCTTGGCCTGAAGAGAAGGCAGCATCATACACCACTCTGTAGTGTTCCTGGCTGTGCCAGTCTGTAAAATCTCTAGCAGCACATGGCGTGAATAAATTTCCTTTTATTTATAAATTTGGGAGGGGAAGAGAAGAGGGAGCAAATTCCCAGCAAAGCTGTGTTTTGTTGTTGCAGCTGGACTCTCTGGGCAAAGATAGAACAGATGGGGCTGCAGCTCCCATACTGAACAGCAGCAAAGCATTGTCTTCCCTCTTAAAAATAAAATGGAAAGATGGACGTGTTTCTATTTTTTTTCTTACATTAAACCCCCAAAATAGAGTTCTCGGCTCTGTTAATTGACCAAACACTCCTGTTAGTAAGTTTCCACTCTAATTAGACCAGTCTACAATTTTTGTTTTAAAATGCTTATTAGAAAAGTTTCTAAAACAATATTGCTGTGAAAAAGTCACTGAATCTCTTCCTTGTCCCATAGCAACACACAGGCTTTCATCCATTCTCTGCTAATTTACCTCAGAAATAAGGAACTTAATCCCAGGTTTTTAAAGATATTTAGACATTGCTCTGCTCAGTGTTGCAATGCTTAAGTCTCATTAAAAGGTCAACAGGATGTAGGATCCTGTCACTTTTGAAAATGAGGCTTTGGCTCCTAAGTCACTTCAGCTTTATAACACTGAGTGGAGTAACACCTAAAGACCTTTAAAAATCTTGATCTCAGCTACTGTGGTTAATGGAGACCATCTAAGTACCTAAATAGGATAACTTGGTAGCTTGCTAAATACTTTATTTTCATGAATGTGTATTTCATCCCTTAGCCTTTGGAAGCTTCAAGTGATGTGATTAACCTGGCCCAGACTGTACGCATCCAACCAGAGCCTGAAGGAGGAGAGGGAGAAAGAGAGTTACCTGAGTGGAGTGAGAAAGTAGCCCATGGAATCTTGTCAGGTACTACCGGAATCAGGGATTTATGTTTAATATAATTGTCCTGCTAGTAGTGTTTAAACACTATATTTTGATTTAAAGGCATTGTTGCTGATGAACACTTTGTGGGGCAGGGGAGCTAGATCCACAAAGATTACTTAAGCTCTGTTGCAATGCCCAAATTTAGGCACCCAGCCACCTAGTTGAATCCATAGCCTTGAGTAAGGCACCTAGATTTCCTGTACAATGCATGGGGAGAGTTAGATGCCTAAAAATTGGGATTCACTATAGATAGCACAGAGTGGGGGAGCCACCTAAACTAGCCAATAGGAAATTTTGAGGAGAGGTATGACCTCAATCAAGCTCATTAAAAGGAGTTAGGCACTGAAGTCTGGGTCAGAGGGAGGCGCCTCCCTTCACTCAGGATTCACTGCCTTGAATTCTCTCTTGGACAAAGGTGCCTAAGCCAGGTCAGTCCTTTCTCACAAAAACAGAGGAGAAGGTGGTGCCCTCTCCCTCCTTACACGCAATAGCCAGGTGGTTAGAGCATCCACCAGGTTCAATGCCCACTCTGCCTAAACTAGAGCAGAGACTTGAACCCTGGTCTTCCACTTCCCCAGGTGAGTGTCCTAATCACTGGGCTGTAGAGTCGATCTCTCTGACCCAATGAATATTTATTTTATACAAAGTGGAACAGCTGCAGAAGCTGAGAGTGCCCCACTCCAGACTACTGCATAGCCAAGTGGTTAGGGCGCACACCTGAGAGCAGGGGGACCTAGGTTACAGTCCCTGCTCCTCTCTGGCAGAGTGGGGATTTGAACCTGGATCTCCCACATCCTGAGTGAGTACTCTAACTACTCAGATATACAGTATAAGAGGGGCACCACCATCTCCACTGTTTTGTGTAGGACCTGATCCAGTAAGCATGCCCTAAGACTGTCTCTGAGGTGAGATTGGTGGGGAACACCTAATCTGAGATCCCACCATGAGTTAGGCAGCTGGTGTCAGGGTTTAGACAGCTGTGTGCATGCCAGCCACCAGCAGAAACTTAGACACCTACAGGGTTAGATGGCATCTGAGTGGGGGTTCTGAGAATCTAAATGTTGGACTTAAGTGCCTAAATCCCTTTGTGGATCTAGCCCTGAATGATTCAAGCCACTGAAATGAAATGGTTTTAGTCCTTTATGATTATATTAGAGAAAACGGGCATCTGATCTTTAAAGAAAAGATAAGCATTCTGTAATGGTTCTGTACTCCAGATATGTGGTGACAGAAGAATAAATTTGTCTTTTTTTATAGAATCCTGTTTCCAGTACATTAGGCCTGCATTTCTTGTGCTGTGCTTGCTTGTGGGCTAATCGGAGCAAACTAAGCTGCCCTTGAATGACTCAGTACTGCTTTTTCTAAGAGAGTGCAGAGAGTAGTTGTGGGTAATTGTTCCTCTGCTCCCAGGGTTCTCTCCTGCTGATCACACCTCCTGTTCAGTGTGTGACTCTGGTGGGAGGGTTAATGAAGAGATATGGACTGTGTTGCATCCAGAATGCTAATGACACCCAGCTCTCTCTGTCTCACACTTAACCATGCTGGATCAGAGTCTATATGATGAAATTGAGGCTTGGATGAGGGTTAGCTAGGTGTGACGGAAATCAGACAAGTTGGAGATAATTTGGTGGTTGGGGAGGAAGCTGAAAGAAGAGTTGTGGAAATTCATTCATGCTAGCACCTCTGACTGAGGAAGTACAGCTGCCATTTGCAATACAGGTGTGTAATTTAGGTATGTTGTTAGGAGGGAGGAGAAAATACTGCCAGAAGTCCAGTCTGTAAATACTACACATCATAAGTTAATTAATTTGTTTTGAAGGAGCATCCTGGTTGAGTTGGGGTTTGGTCAAGGGAGCAGAATATACTGGCAAAGCAATCCACAAAGGAGCTTCCAAATTGCGAGAACACATTCAACCAGAAGAAAAACCTTTGGAAGTCAATCCAACTGTAGCCAAGGGGCTTCATGTAGCAAAACAAGCTACTGGAGGAGCTGTAAAAGTCAGCCGGTTTTTGGGTAAGATGTTCTGCATCTGAATTCTGCAAAAAGATGTTGTGTTGTAGGGGTAGGCAACCTATGGCACGCATGCCAAAAGCGGCACACGAGCTGATTTTCAGTGGCACTCACACTGCCTGGGTCCTGGCCACCAGTCCGGGGGGCTCTGTGAGTTGGGTATTATAGAGTAACCTGGAAGAGCTAGTTAAAGTAAGAGACAGTATGTGCCCTCCTGACCAGCTTACATCTATTTAAACAAGGCAGAAAAAAGGCAAGGAGGTATTATCCCCAATTTACAGATAGGAAACTGAGTCACAGAGAATTGCCCCAGATTGAGTTTATGGACTAGTCTACACTAGAAGTGCTACATTGGCGCAGCTGCACTATGTCTGGTGAAGATGCTCTATGCTGACGGGAGACAGCTCTCCTGTCAGCATAACTACTCCACCTCCACAAGAGTGGTAGCTATGTCGATAGGAGAGCGTCTCCTGCCAACATAGCACTGTCCACACTGGTGCTTTGATTGGGGTAACTTGCCTCGCTTGGGAGGCATGGCTTTTTCACACCCCTGAGCAACATAAGTTATATCAACATAAGTGGTAAGTGTAGACCTGCCCTATGACAGAACTAAGAAACTAACCTAGATCTTGATTTCAAGTCCAGTGCCTTAACCACAAGATCATCCTTCCTCCTTTAATGGGACCTGGGGCTGCTCAGCATCTCTGAAAATCAGGCCACTTCTATTTAGGTGCCTAAATATGAATTTAGAAGCCTCTTGCTCATGAATGGAATAAAATTGCAACATTTTAGACTTTAGTACCGGTAGAACTTTTAATTCAGTGAACCAAACATTTTTTTTTTCTCTCTATTTAACAAGAACTTTGAGACTCAATCTGAATACTTTTTTTGTGTGTTAGTTGAAGGGGTATGTTCAATAGCAAGCAGTATTGGAAAAGAGTTAGCCCCACATGTGAAGAAGCATGGGAGCAAATTTGTTCCTGAGTCGCTTAAGAAAGACAAAGATGGAAAGTCCACTTTTGATGGTGCCATGGTTGTAGCAGCAAGTGGAGTTCAAGGTAACAAAAAAAGAATTCTAAATGCATGCTGCAAGCTACATAACTCTCATTTTGCAATGCGTTGGCTTAAAATAAACCATTTGATTATATTTATAGGGTTTTCAACAGTATGGCAAGGTTTGGAAAGTGCAGCAAAATGCATTGCTACTAGTGTTTCAACCGAGACTGTTCAGACTGTCCAGCACAAGTAAGTTACATTTTTATCAGCTTAGTAACTGGTTTGTCTCCTACAATAAACTAGGATTATGTATGAACGATGGCCAACATATATGCCTTCTTATTAATCTTCTAGATTTTACAAAATTATAGCAAAGCTTACTATACAGGATAAAATCTCTTTGCACTAGGTATACAGTAAATGATGTTCTTGTAAGTGAATAGTGACAGGCTTGCCCTCTATCTAAATCTGATTACCGTATATACTTGTTCATAAGCGGAATATTTTTGGTAAAAAAGTGACACATCAAAGAGCGGGGGTCAGCTTATAAATGGGTCTACACCAAAATTTGATTTTCAACGCCATGGAATCATTGAATTGAATATCTAATACATTATTGTTTTGTTTACCTGGAGCGTTCAGAGGCACGGAGCCCCTCAGCTCCCAGTGGCCGTGGTTCGCCATTCTCAGCCAATGGGAGCTGTGGGAAGTGGTGCGCCACAGAAGCAGCTAGCAGCAGGTCCTGCTCCTAGGCAGAGGTGCGCAAGCGGCTTCGCACGACTCTTGCCCGCAGGCACCGCCCCCTCCCTCCACAGTTCCCATTGGCCTGTTGCCGGCCAATGGGAGTGCAGAGCCGGTTCTCAGGTTGCGGGCAGTGCGCGGAGCCCCGTGGCCCCCCTGCCTAGAAGCCGGACCTGCTGCTGGCCGCTTCCAGGGTACAGTGCAGTGTCAAAACAAGTAGGCACTAGCCTGCCTTAGCTGGGCAGCACCGCCAATGGGACTTTTAATGTCCCAGTTGGCGGTGTTGACCAGAGCAACCCAGTGCCTGACATGCCGCGACCCATTTGAAAAATGTTGCCCTAATGGATTTATTTTTTAGCTCTGTGGTCGAAATTAGTACGACTTTGAGAGATGTAGGTAGAAATCCTATTTGGAATTTGTGTGTATTTCAACACCATTTTTATTTAAAAAACACACAACCCTGTCTGGCTAAAATACTTCTAACTTTGAGTCACTTCTAACTCTGGTTGAGTCTTCACTGTTTTGGTTTACCAAAGTTTAACAAAAATTCAGATGAAGATGAGATAATCTGGTGTACAAGGAAGGAGTTTCAGCTACAAGTAGGTGCAAAGGAGGACATAAAAGGGGAGTGAAGGAAACTTAAAACATAGGCCTCAGCAGTAGAGATATTGAGCAGAGCATTTAAAGTTAGTGGACATAAATACAGATGTTGCCAGAGACAAGTGATAGGGGGATTTAGGAGCATGTGGTACTATGGTGATGGGAAGAAAGATGATGGTAGAGATCATCTGAAGAGTTGAGAAAATTACCAACTAGGAGATATGAAAAGGAATGTTGGAAAGATGATGACTAAGGTGAAAGGGTGCAAGTGTTATCTGGAAAACAATACAATAGGCATGGTCAGAACTGGGAGGTTCAGTAAAGGCACTTGGGTAACAATGGAGTCAGTGACAGATGGTCTAGCAGCAGTCAGGTCAAAGTGGTACATGTAAATGCAAACAGATCAGAAGAGCACAAAGAAGCAGGTAAGACAATGAGTAGACAAACAATATAGAGTAGAGGTCACTGGTGAAAAGTTCAAGTTCTGTGGTTGTGCATTTCAGACTGGAGGCTGTGAATGTACTCCTGGAATGCATTTTGGGGAGATGGCAAGCAGGTTGGTGATGGGTCTTTTATAGGTAGCTGCAAGAAATACATTAAGGCTTGTGGTAGGCTGGGCATAATGCCTGCAGGTGGCATGGAAAGAAAATCATTAGTCTTACACCCTGGATACAATGACATTTCATTTTTTTTATTTTTTTTTTAAACTAGCTTTTCTGTACTCCCCACCCTGTAGGATGAAGTAATTTGTTTATAAAAATCTGCAAGAGCTTTGGTGGAAATATTAGCAGATATTGCTATTTACAGAGCTATAGACTGGGCATGTCTGAGAAACATGCTTAAAGGTGGGAGTAATCATCAGTCCTATCAGGGCTTTTATTGTGTGTGTTCCACATGTCATTTTTTTAGAACAATCTGACTAATCAAAACTGCATCACTGTTACCTGGCTGTCTAATGGTATCTTACGCCTAATGAACTGTCATACTTATTTCTAATAGGAAGTGGCTGGAGGAGCTGTATTAGTACTCTGCTGCCATTTAAAATCATATTAATGTTTGTTTTTATTTTAGATATAAAAATAGGAAACATGGAGATCAGCTATCAACAGCCACTAAGAGTGACAAGCAATAAGTAACTAAATTTTGCAGTTAACTAAAACTTACAGTATTTGATAATTGAGGATTTCCCCCCCATCTCTTGCATTTGGCTCTATCCAAACATGTTTTAAAATTCTACAAGAGATCTTTTAAAGCTGGTTTCAGTTTAGGTGGGCAAAACTCAGTTTTCTGTAAGACAACTGTAAAAATCAGCATTATGTACATTAAAGGAACACTGTCCGGTTTCCACCAAACTACAAGTGTTCTGGACTTGAATGTAGCTGCAGAACTACTAGCTCTGTTTGGGTGCAAGTGAAGTAAGTGGCCTCTAACTACTTGGGTTCTTATACTGGTGTCCCTCATTCTAGTATCTGAGTGCATCTTGACACATTTAAAAACAAAAACCCTCTCAGTTGAGGCACTCAGATTTTGAGCTGGGGTGAAGAATCAATTTATCAAATCTTGTATATAGGGCTTAGGAAGAAAGCAAAATTTACTATACACTTTGGCATTGGATGTACCATAATCAGTGCAGCTACCTGTTGCAGTGATGCTGCAGCAAACTTATTTAGTGTATCAACGGAGGAAATAACTAATCAAACTGGCAAATATTTACTCCTTGCTGTCCACTAATTCTGTGATCTGCAAATTAGACCATAATCATGATTAAGGCTGCTACTCTATCAACAGAGAATATTCAATTTTTTCCTCCTCATTTAGTTTCCGTGCTTGGTCCAGCCCTCAGTAGCCAGGGCTGCTCTTCTAGTATTAGATAAGGATCCAGACTTTAGTTCTCCTAACATAATACATTACCCTCCACCCAAGAACTTTCAGACAAAAAACGCAGCAAAAATATTATGGCCCTGACTCTGAGCTGGGTCTTGCAGGAGGCTCAGCCCGGATGGTGAAGCAAAGTTGGTTTAGCACTGTTGGGATTCTCAGATCACCAAGACTATTTCTGGCCTGCTCTTATTTATGCATGGCTACAATGCGTCCCAAGGGGCTGTGTGGCAACTTGGAACAGCTGGATTGCTGAGTGCTCTGGCCATTCCCCTGTGCTGGTCCAATACAAGGATGTTATGCTGGCCCTACATTGCTGGAGAAATTCCTAAATGGGGAGATCTGGTTGCTTACTTGCCCCCTTAGGCTACAGAAGCAGTGTAAAGAGGCTGGAACACAGCCCAGGACTGAGACCTATGTTTGAGTATGTTGGATTAATACCTCCCCTTGCCAGGATCTTCTGATACCAGGACACTACTGACTGAGGCTTTCCAATTAGTAGAACTACTCTCTTCCCATTGTTCTGTCTCCAATTCATCTCATTTCCTTTATTCACACCTGTAGGGGAACAGTCAGATTTTCATCCCCCAATACCATTTACACCTAACTCCTGCAGAAAAGAACAGAGCAGTAGTTGGTATTCTGACACTTGAAAAGAAAGTTATGGAATTAATAAGCCTTGTGACAGATTAGCAGCCATAATGGATATGAATTATTTTAGCAATTTTTAATTTTGATGTTTAAATATTTAAATGAAGTCTGGTCAAACTTGATCTGGGTTCTTTCATTTTCTTTGTGCTATGCCTAAACTCTTGCTTTGGGACAAGATTTCAAGAGGGGTGAATTGCTACAATCCATAGTAGCTGTAGTCTTGTGAAGACCCCATACTGAAACAGATTTACAACCATGTGGGCATGGGGAGCAAGGGTTTGCGCATAAGGAAAATTGAATGAACAGATGACTTCACTTGTATTAAAGTTTAAAACGTATTTTCATATCTACAAATATGATGTTTCTTAAGGTATGGGGATGATGCAGGCCATGCTACAGACAACGCTATGAATTCTGCAATCAATGTTGGTGTGACAGCATTTAACATTGACAACATTGGTATCAAAGCTATAGTGAAGAAAACTGCAAAACAGACTGGTTATGCTGTGCTGGATGAATATAAAGTACTAGAAAAGGAGAAAAAGAATGGAAGATAAAACAGTTAATTTCCCAAAGCCTTACAGTATGGATGTAACTTACTATTTTAAAGTAATGGGGTAATGCTAACCTATAACGTAAGTATTTATTTTTATAATTGTCTTTATGAAAACTAATTCTTTACATACTTGAGAAAACTGAAGGCATAAAACTAGTCATTTTCTCTGAGTTGAAAGTACCCTTCATTCAGCACTTCTGCATCATGTATCAGTCTGACCACTGGAAGGATATGGATTTGGAATTGCATGTAGTACAGTCAGGGAAAAAAAATCATCTCCATAATCTATTAATTCAAAAACACTATTTTTCAAAATATAAAATGGAACAGTAACACGAATGGAAATATGAATTGGTCTTGAGTATTTTTTTGTAATGCTGTTTGTAAAGAAAAAGGGTTGGTACTCTGAATAAATCTAATAGGGTTTATAGTTTAATTCCCCTTTTAATTATGGTTGAAATGAGTTTGCCAAGGCAGAATTGTCTATCTAATTATATGCACTAAGATTAGTTTGGGGTTCCATTCTTTAGTTTCCAAAGACTAGAGAAATTCCTTTAGGACAGCTAACATTTAAATAGCAGCTGAGCTAATGACCAAAGTCCTATTAAAAGAAATGAAAGCGAGCCTCCGGTAGCCTCCCTCTTTTTAAAGTTAAATGCTTTTCAGAACAAATATTTATATAAACCAAAGACTTAAACCACACTGTTTATTAGGGTGACAAGTACTCTCTGTACAAGAGAACCAACTCAAAAATAATCAGAATACTCACAAATTGGCAGTAAAAAAAGAATTCAGTAATTCTGTGCAATCTGATTTTGGGGGGGGGGGAAGAGAACTAACTCAGGTTTTTTGTTGTTGTTGTTGATGATACTTTGTTTTTTCTGTAACCATCAGGGTGAGACTCTATCCAGGAAAAAATTGTTCTATAGAAAAGCTTTCACTGACCTTTTACACTGCATGTGTTTCACAATCTATCTACTGTAACTGCAATGTCTTTAGAAAGATTTGTAATGTATTGTAACATTGGGTATTACTGCCCTCTAATGGAATATCAGGGTATTTGAAATGTTAAGTTTTTTGTTTCTGTCTACTTCAGTATCTAGCATTAAATTCCAACAGTTATTAAAATGAGCTTTCAGTCTTGGTAAGGGCATGACTTCATGGGCATGAACACGATGAAAAATTAAATTCTGAAAATCATCCCAATGAATGTAATATACATGCTGCTTTTGTAAATAGTTACTTTTTGCCCACTTTCTACTCAGACATGAACTGTCCTGATGTTTCTTGTACACTTGTGTTCTACAACTGCTTTGTGTAGTACACAGGAGTGCAGTACATATGAAAAACTCAGGTCATTCTCTGCTACTGGCTCAAAAATTCATTACTTGGCTTCACAGCTGCTATCCGTTCCAGTCTTGATTGAACCTGTAGTGGAAACAAAATGACATTTACAAATGGTCTTTCACATTAATTGCAGAAAATGACTTAACTGTGTGACTGGCTCAGACTCATAAATAAATGCAATCAAAGTCTATACTAATGGATTAATAGAAGGTAGTGTGTTAGCTTGGCTATTACATGCCTGCAACTGGTGATGGTGAGAAGCATGAGGCCAAGAGCATAAAAACTTGACACACAATTCCTGGAGTGTCTTGTGGAATTGAAATTATAAATAAAATTAATTGACCTGTGTGCTTAGCATTATTATAGATGCAGAGCTACTGTGTGAATTTTCTGTTGTGAGAAAAGTAAAAATATGGGATTTTTCCTGAGGTGACAGTCCAGATCATAACCTTCACCCAGATCTATGCTAGCAACTTTTACTGGTATAGCAGTGTCTGTTAGGAGTATGGGGGTGTTTTGGCAAGATTTCTATACTGGCAAATACCCTGCTCTAGATGCAGTTATACAGGCATAAGTGATTTTGGGGCTAGTTCATTTTGCTCACTGGTCCAGTATAAGGTATGCCTCCACTAAAGGTTTGCTTACCGGTATAGCTATATTGATAAAATCCTTTCTAGTGTAGACTAGAGGCCTTAGTCTTGTAACCTGCTTCTGTCTCTACCTACTATCTGCTGCTTCAGGAGCAGGCAAAACATTATTCAAGTTGCCAATCCTGTAATGCTCAGAAAGGAGAACAGGATACCCCTTTGAGTTTGCTATAACCCAAAGTGTTCTCAAGCAGCAGTATTAAACAGCCATACTGCATCTGACCAATGGTTCATTTAGCCCAGTAACCTGTCTTGACAGTGGTCAGTGCCAGATGCTTTAAAGGGAATGAACAGAACAAGGCAATTTCAAGTGATCCATCCCTTTCATTCAGTCACAACTTCTGGCAGTTGGAGGTTTAGGGACACCTGGAACAGGGTTGTACCCTAATTTTTAGACTCAATTCTCTGGATAGCTAACTTCATTTTCTTCCCACATACCATGTAAGCTGGAAGCATAATATACAAGTTTTATTCTCTTTCAGAACCAGCCTTGTAGGATTAAGATTCATATCTTTAATACTAATGGGTACAAGTAGGGCCCTACCAAATTCAGTCCATTTTGGTCAATTTCACAATCATAGGATTTTAAAAATTCTGAATTTCAATTTTAGATATTGAAATCTGAAATTTCACAGTAGTGTAACCATAGGGGTTCTCAACCCAAAAGAGGGGGGTGGGTGCGGGTTGCAGTAATGCCACTCTTCTGTGCCGCTGCCTTCAGCAGTGAGCAGGCAGCCAGCTCTGAAGACAGCATCACCACCAGCAGCAGTGCAGAAGTAAAGATGGCAATATCATGCAGCAGCACTGCCTTCAGAGCTGGACTCCCAGCCAGCAGCCGTAGCGCTTCCTGCAGCCAGGGGAGGTTCCCAGAGATGTCTGACCAAGCCTCAGGAATGGCATGTGCAAAGAAAGTCCTATCCCTCCCCAGGACTAGCAGCTGGAGCCTGGTGTTTGGGAGTTAAAGGGGCCTTGGTCTGGCTGTAGTGGGGGCAGGGGAGTGACCACAGGGCCCTAAGCAGTTGCCCACTTGCTCACCTGTAAAGCCAGCCCTACCCCCCTTCAAAGTGACAACCCCTGCCCCATACCAGGCCACCTCACTTCTGCGCTGCTGCTGCCTTCAATGGTGATCTCTCAACAAGCACCTGCTGCCCAACTCTGTGCAATCTGGTCTCCCCTACGCTAGCCAGATTTCACAGAGGAGATAAGATTTCACAGTCTGTGACCCATTTTTCATAGCCATGAATTTGATAGGGCCCTAGGTATGTTAGAAGATGTAGTCCCTTTCAAAATAATAATACAAGTACTATAGCTAGCTTAGTAGTTCTACAGTTATATTGCCATATTTCTCATATTAGCTGGCTTGAGTCTAAAAGGAAGAGGCAGACTACTGCCCTATTTCAGGTCTCTGCTACAGTGAATCCTGACACAGTTAATTAGGGCTGAGTCATTACTAGTCATACTTAAAATTATTGATTTTTGTCCACTGTTCTCTCCAATTTAAAAATCTAATGTTCAATGAATTCTCAATGTATGATAGCAGGAGCAACTGTTTTTAAAAGCAGTGGCTGTACAATTTGTCTAAATGTATGTTACTGATTGAGGATTTTAGACAGTTCTGCAATTCATTAGCATCTCAGATAATTCACTGAGGAGAATAATAGCATCAGTTATAACTTACTAACACTGTCAAAACCACCTCCTACCCAGATGTTTTCACCAAATTAACTGACTTTCAACTCCAAGACCCAAGCTAACAGTGATTTGGGTACAAGACCAGTTTGTATTCACTGAAAACATTGTTGCTTTTATTTTTCTCTTTTGTCACTTTTAGATTGTTAGCTGTTTAGGAGCAGTCTGTGCCACACTGACAGCCCTTCACGTATTACAGGAACTACCACAATACACATAAAAGAGAATCTAGTTCCTCGCTCTTCTTGTACAGCATAAGAGGGAATTATGCCCACAGCTGCCTGGAAAAGAGAACCAAGAGCCAATGCAAAAATGCTTGTGTGATCTAAAGCCATGTCAGATGTTTCTAACTGAATCCAGTACAATTTTTAAAAATACTACCCAATACATATCAGATTAGACTAGTGGCTGTTAATGTTAGGTGTTTTGGGCTCTTCAGTCCTGACTGGTTTAACAAATTAGGGCTTGTCTATACTTACTGTGGAATCGATGAGCGGCAATCGATACATCGGCAGTGAATTTAGCGGGTCTAGTGAAGTCCCACTAAATCGACCGCAGATCACTCTCCCGTCAACTCTTGTACTCCACTGGATCGAGAAGAGTAAGGGGAGTCGATGTGAGAGCGTCTCCTGTCGATATAGCGTAGTGTGAACCCTGCGGTATGTAGATTTAAGCTACGTCAATTTGAATTATGCTACTCACTTAACTCAAATTGCGTAGCTTAGATTGACTTAGGCCTTGTCTACACTACAGGGGAAGATCGAGCTAAGTTACACAACTTCAGCTACCTGAATAACGTAGCTGAAATCTACGTACTTAGATCTACTTACCAAGGGGTCCACGCTACGCTACTCTTCTCGATACAGTGGAGTACAGGAGTCAACAGGAGAGTGATCTGCGGTCGATTAAGCGGGTCTTCACTAGACCCGCTAAATCGACTGCCACAGTGCTGATTACTAATATTGGTATTGCAGTAGTGTTTACAGGCCTTAACTAAGCATCAAGGCCCACTGTGTGAGGCCCTGTCCATGCAACACAGCAAGGGTCCCTGCCCTAAAGAAAAGACAATCTAAGTGTTAATTGTTTCTGTAAGGCTAAATAAATAAACAAAGGGCTAAAAATTCATTGCATATCTACTACAACACTTCACAGGTCAAGGTGGTTTAGACAACAGTTAGCTTATCCTACCTGGTCAAAACTCTTGTTTAACTGGGTCAAAGCAATATCATGCTTTTTCATTAGTTTCTGGTATTCTGCCAAGCTGTCTGCTTCCTTTGTGAGTTTCTCTAGACAAAGCAAAGTAGGCGAGGCATCAGATATGTGGCCATTAAAGCAATAGCTGAGCAAACTCTGTAATAGTTTACATTTATTTGCAAAATAAGTTCCAGTCAAGTTTTCATACCACAAACAAGTCTGCAGAGTAAAATGCAGTGCTTCATTCTGTTTGGTGCCTTCAAACCTGACCTCACATTGTACTCTTATAAAATCCTCCTACCTCTGTGGCAACAGTATTAAAGAGAACGGCTATGGAGGAACTACTAGAGCAGAGGTTCTCGAACTGTGGGTCAGAACCCCTCAGAGGGTTGCGAGCTGTCAGCCTCCACCCAAAACCCCACTTTGCTTCCAGCATTTATAATGGTGTTAAATATGTAAAAAAGTGGTTTTAATTTAAAAAGGGGGGTCACACGTCGAGGCTTGCTATGTGAAAGGGGTCACCACTGTAATACAGCATATGTGGCTGGCAGCAGAGCACACCTCCCTTCTATTACACTCTTTGCATAGTCTCTTTAGCTCTCTTCTAGTCTATAACTGTAGGAGAGGAAGGGTCCATTTCTGCCATGGAAAAAGTAGTGTCTAGCCTGTGCCATGACAGGTTAAGCTTCCATGGGAAGTTTAAAGTTCCCATGTGCTGCAGGACACTCTGTACTGTCGCACTCTGCTGACTCCCACAGAGGCAGAAACTGGTTGCAAAGCTCCGCTCGGTGTTACTTAAACTACTGCAGCCCCTTAGGCCGAGACACGTCAATCTATTTGGCTTGAGCCGGGAGGTTCCCCCTGTGGTAGCTGACTCCGTTCAGTCAGTCAATCTGTGCCGCTGCTTCGCCCCCGGCCCCTGCCCTGGCAGCCGCGCTGCAGGCGCAGCGTGAAACCAAGACGGTGCCAGCGACGTTTAACTCCGCGGGCGGCCGCTGTGACGGGAGGGGGGCCGGGCTCCCCGCGCGTCCCCTCGGCGAGCGGCTCCGCGGCCGGGGTGCAGGGGAAAGGCGCGACAGGCCCGGCAGACAGGGGCGCTGCCCCACGCGCGGGGCTCCCCGAGTGACCAGAGCGGGGCGCGGCGGCTCCGGCGCGGAGCGTAGGGAGCAGCGTGAGCCTGCCCACGCGCCGCGGCTGGGCTGTGCAGAGCGGCTGCCCCGCGCGGCCCCTCCCGTTACCTAGCGCAGCCGCCATCCGCCCGTAAGCCGCGTCGGAGGCGAGACACTGGGCCGCGCTCGCAGCCATGCTCACCCAGCCTTCCCGCCAGCGCCCTCGAGACTCGTTCCCTAGCCCGCTGTCACGTGACCCAGCGCCACTCATGTGACCTGCCCCCTCCTGGAGTGGCTGTCACGTGTCCGGGATGGGCCGTTTGATCTGTGGCTCGCGTGGCTGCTCCCCTCTCTCCTCCCCCACCCCCCTTATCCTTCCTCCTCTCCAAGGAGATGAGCGCGCGCACACACAAGCCCCGTGGCAGGCAGCGTCTCGGGGCTGCGGGCAGCGATGGGAGAAGGCGGGGACTCCCGCGCCCTGGGCTCTGAGCAGCTGCGGCTGGAGCTGGGGCAGGAGAAGCAGATGAAGTGAGTTCCCGTCCCAGAGCGGTGGGGAAAGGGGCCGCGCTCGGTGCCTGCCGCAGTGCCTGGGAGTCAGCGTGGGACGTGCTGCGGGGTACGCCGGGGAAAGGCTCCTAGCGCGCTACAGAGGAGGTCAAGACTAGGGCCTGCCTGGTATAAGGTTGCCTAGTGCTTTCCATTACAACACCCTGCTGTCAGGTGCTTCTAGCTTTGCCATCCCTTGAGCACTGGGGCTGAACTTCTCCAGGCTGGTGTCTGCCTGGGGCTGAGTTGTTTTGGGAAAAGGTCAGCCAAGGAGCTCCAGCTGTTTTTAGAGAATGAGGCTAAGGAAATGTTTTCTCTTTGCTACAATGTTCTCACAATCTTTGCTTTGAGATGCTCTAGCGCCTGCCTGCTTTGAAGCAGGAGCTTGACATTTGGCCAGGGGTGGCCTTTGTGCTCGGGATGTGCCTCTTGCCAGCCCCAGGAAGTTCACACAGATTTAACCAAGCCTTTGAAAAATATGCACATGCTCATAGATTTTAGCAGCTAAATTCCCCAAAGATTGCATCTGTGCTGGGCATGCTCCAGCGCTTACAGCTCTGGGCTGCTGCAAACTGTGAGGGGTCGTCTAGGTACTTGAATTGAGAGCAGGGAGCCTTGTTTTGTTTGTCTGTGCTCCAAGTGACCTACTGATAGCCTGGAGAAGGAAGCTGCCTGATGCATGCAGAGAGGGCAAGAGCTACATGGTCTGTGGGAAGTAGATGGGACACAGAGCTTGGTGGGAAGAAGCTGGGATTGGAGGCTTTCGTGGTAGAGGGAGTTGAGGTGGGAGGAGACTGGAACTGGCTGTCAAATGAAACTGGGAGCTAGGAAGGGAAATGGGGGAGGACTTGGGAGTCACTAGGTTGGAGGAGACTGAGACTGAATGAGGCTTTAGGAGGCAGACTGGGACTCTCTGGGCAAAGAGAGTGGGAGGAGTGGAATTGGGAATAGTGGGCGAGGAAGCTGGGACTGGGATGGGAAGTCTGGAGATGTGAAATTAAAATTTGCTGGGCAAAGAGACTAAAAGGGGGATGAGAAGCCTGAGGAGTGGAGACTGGACTGCCTAGGTGAGGCAAGTGGGACAAGAAGCCAGGGGTGAGGAAGTGACAGGACTAGGACACATTGAAGGGCCTGAGGCAGAAAGGGTCAAGCTTGAGGAAAATGGGCAGACAACTCTGTGCCCACTAGAACACACTCCGATCCAGAGTCTGGAATGGAACCCCAGATTCCTGAGTCTCACCATCCTTCTGCTGTCAGCAAATGTTACTCCTGGGGGAATTGTGTGCCACTGCACACATGCACACTTCTTGTTGGATGCAGAATTATTTTTTCTGCAGAAAATACATTCTGTGGAAGAAGTGCTGCAGTTCTGCCTTTCACCCACCAGAGGTGGCTGTGGCGCCAGAACAGCCCGCTGACCGGCACTCGCAGCAGGCTGCTTTAGTCAGAGCAGCCAGCCTGCCAGTGGAGCCAGGTTAGGAGGCACAGTGGGGCACACAGGGCTGTGGGGATGGGGGGTGGTCACAGACGGGGGTTCAGAAGGGCTAATGGGGGGGACAGACTGGGGCATGGGCTCAGGAGTTAGTGGGGTGACAACATTGAGCCAGTGTCTGAATGGGAGGGGAGCTCTGGGACACATGGGGATGGGGGGTGCAGGGACACACAGGGCTAGGGGCAGATGCGCCTGATTGAATGGTAGAGGTTAGGTGTCAGTCAGGGTCTGTATGGAGGAAGCTCGCCAACTCCCTCCAAAAGAAACTGTTCCATACTTCTCCCACCCACACCAACAACCCTCCAGGTTCACTCCCAGGTTCCTTCCCTCTCCCTCAGCTCCTCTGTTACCCCTGACTCCCCCAAGCCTTTGCACCGCTTCGGAGGGATGTGGGAAATACGTTTCTGAGTTGTAGTTTAAATGAATTACTCAGAGTTCTATATTAATATGCCTAGTAAGGAATCTATTTGCCAAAAAAAAAAAAAAAAAAATATCCTGAATTTTTTTTTGTCTGTATTGTTATGGACATACTTGCTGACAATATTTTGAAATAAATTATCAAAATAATTGAAACTGGCATGATCATATTGTGTTATGTTGACAAATAAAATATGCAGAATTTTGCAGAATTTTAAAATATTGTGTGCATAACTTTTAATTTTTTTGGTGCAGAATTCCCCCAGGAGTAAAATATCTCTGAAACCCACTGGCTCCTTCTTTTGGGGTGGGAGCAGCAGTCGCCGGATACTCTCATGATCTTCTTGCCTCTAACCCTGCCCTCTCATGCATTTATCTCAACTCTCTCCATCCTCCTCATGCTTTCCTTGCAGTATGCTAACTCTCTGACTTTCTCCCTTCCTGTTGGTGTCTTCTGTTCAAACCAGCAACTGTTTTGTTACCCTCCTGCCCCTGTGCCCCTCCTCCCAAATCTGAAGTGGATGGGGACAAAGAGTGACTGGAGCAAGGAGTAAATTAGGACTTCTCTCCCCTTCCCCCTGGTGACTTCCAGCCTCCTTGGGTTATCTGGCCCAACCTCGTCTTGGACTGAGGGCTTCCTTTGAAACCCTTGACATTTGCAGGCCCCAGCTTCCCCACAATTGGTTCCTTCCCTATCTCTTCCCTGATATGTCAGCTTCCCATCCCCTGTTTGCCTTCCTGCTTCTCTGATCATTGATTTGGCTGTTTAGATGCTGTCATTTTACTGAAAACTGATGTCATTTCTGGTACCAGCAGTATGGTAGTCCTGGAGATACTGCTTGAGTCCTCTTTTTTCTCCCACTCTGGGCTTCACGTATTCTGCCATGTTGTATCCTATACTTGGAACAGTTGCCATTTTCTTGTTCACCCACATCCCTCATTCTCTTCCTCTCCTTAAACCTCACTTTTCCAGTAGCCCTTTCTCTCTTTTTCTCATCTGTAATCCTTTTTCCTTACCTTACATTCCTGTTAATCCAGTGTTTTTGTTCACTTTAGGCTCCAGTCCTGCAATCATGTCTGCACAAACTGGTGGTGTCTTTGCAAATTTAAGAGTCCACCTGCATGGCTCAGTCTGTTTGGGGGACTGTGTACTGAGCCTAATGGCCTGCTAGGCAAGGCTGAGAGCTTCTTAATGAGGCTTTGATCCCTTAACCCTTAACTAGGGGACAGAGATACTCATGAAGACCAGGGCTTTAAAAAGTGCGCTCCGAAGTGATCAGAGGAGGTAGCGAACAGGAGCAGCTAACACTGGAGTTTTGAGGGGGAGTTTGAGGTGGGGCTAGATACACTCAACATTCTTTAAATTTAAAGCCAAAAACACCCCCTGATAAAAACAAAACATCAACAAAGGAACGAGCTGCAAGAGTAAAAAGAGAATGCAGGCAGAAGTCCAGCAACAGAATGGGGGCTATCCAGTTTATTGCACCCAATGTAGCATGTATTATTACCTGCCCTATGGGCAGGTGGCGTATATATGCATTCGGTGCAAGGAGCTCCTGTCCCTCAGAAACCATGTACGGGCTTTGGAGACCAGAGTGGCTGACAGCCTCTGTGCTATTGAGGAGGATGAAAGTCTCAGGGAAGGAGAATATCCAACTGGAGCAGAGGAAAACGATACCATAGTTGGGACCTTCCTTCCAGATAAAGTTGTGGTATCCTCTCGCACTGAGGATACCTCTCCGGGAGAGGGAACTCCAGTTATTAGGAAGAGACAGGTAATAGTTATGAGGGATTCGATCATTAGAAACATACATAATTGGGTTTACGATGACCGGCAGAACCGCATGGTGACTTGCCTGCCTGGTGCAAAGGTTGCAGCTCTCTCAAGATATCTAGATAGACTTATGTGTAGTGCTAGGGAGGAGCTGGTGGTCGTGGTACATGTACAGTGACATAGGGAAGGATAGGAGAAAGGTCCTCGAGGCCAAATTTAGGCTGCTAGGTAAGAGACTGAAGTCCAGGACTCCATGGTAGCATTCTCTGAAATGCTTCCAGTTTCACACGCAGGGCCAGTTAGACAGGCAGAACTGCAAGGTCTCAATGTGTGGATTAGATGATGGTGTAGGGTAGGGAAGAGGGGTTTAGATTTATTAGGAACTGGGGAAACTTTTGTGAAAGGGGGAGCCTATACAAGAAGGATGGGCTCCACCTAAACCAAAATGGAACCAGATTGCTGGCACTTAAAATTAAAAAGGTCATAGAGCAGTTTTTAAACTAAGGACTGGGGGAAAGCCGACAGGTACAGAGGAGTACGTGTTTTGGACAGAGACATCTCTTAGGGGAGGATTTAATCTTTATAAATCTTTATTTATGGAGATTCTCTGTGTCCTAATAAGGAGGAGAGGATGGAAGGTGATAAAATATGGGTAGGATCTGATGAGAAACAGTCAAATAAAAAAGAGTCCCATTCAATTACATCATGTAATGGCAGACAGATAAATAGTGACAAGTTTTTAAAGTGCTTGTACACAAATACTACATAATAAGATGTGTGAACTAGAGTGCCTCGTATTAAATGAGGATATTGATGTAATAAGCATTGCAGAAACTTGGTGGAATGAGAATAATCAATGGGACACAGTACTACCAGGGTACAAAATATATCGGAAGGACAGAACAGGTCATGCTGGTAGGAGGAGTGGCACTAAATGTGAAAGAAATTATAGAATCAAATGAAGTAAAAATCTTAAATGAACCAAACTGTATCATAGAATCGCTAAGGATAATAATTCCATGCTCTAATAATAAGAATATAGCAGTAGGGATATATTACCGACCACCTGACCAGTATGGTGATAGTGACTGTGAAATGCTCAGTTTGATTAGAGTGGCTATAAAAATAAAAAACTCAATAATAATGGGGGATTTCAACTATCCCCATATTGACTTGAGTACATATCACCTCAGGACGGGATGCAGAGATAAAGTTTCTTGACACCTCAAATGACTGCTTCTTGGAGCAGCTAGCCTTGGAACCCACAAGAGGAGAGGCAGTTCTTGATTTAGTCCTCAGTGGAGCTCAGGATCTGATCCAAGAGGTGAATATAGCTGGACCGTTTGATAATAGTGGCCATAATATAATTAAATTTAACATCCCTGTGGCGGGGAAAACACCACAGCGGCCCAGCACTGTAGCATTTAATTTCAAAAAGGGGAACTACACAAAAATGAGGAAGTTAGTTAAACAGAAATTAAAAGGTACGGTGCCAAAAGTGAAATCCCTGCTAGCTGCATAGAAACTTTTTAAAGACACCATAATAGAGGCTCAACTTAAATGTATACCCCAAATTAAAAAACATAGTAAGAGAACCAAAAAAGTGCCACCGTGGCTAAACAACAAAGTAAAAAGCAGTGAGAGACAAAAAGGCACCCTTTTAAAAAGTGGAAGTTAAATCCTAGTGAGGAAAATAGAAAGAAGCATAAACTCTGGCAAATGAAGTGTAAAAATATAATTAGGAAGGCCAAAAAAAGAATTTGAAGAACAGCTAGCCAAAGACTCAAAAAGTAATAGCAATTTTTTTTAAGTACATCAGAAACAGGAAGCCTGCTAAACAGCCAGTGGGGCCACTGGACAATCGAGATGCTAAAGGAACACTCAAGGATGATAAGGCCATTGCAGAGAAACTAAATGAATTCTTTGCTTTGGTCTTCATGGCTGAGGATGTGAGGGAAATTCCCAAATCTGAGCCATTCTTATTAGGTGACAAATCTGAGGAACAGTCGCAGATTGAGGTGTCATTAGAGGAGGTTTTTGGAATAATTGATAAACAGTAATAAGTCACCAGGACCGGATGGTATTCACCCAAGAGTTCTGAAGGAACTCAAATGTGAAATTGCAGAACTACTAACTAGTTTGTAATGTATCATTTAAATCAGTTTCTGTACCAAATGACTGGAGCTAATGTGACACCAATTTTTAAAAAAGGACTCCAGAGGTGACCTCGGCAATTACAGGCCAGTAAGACAGAAAATATCATGTTGCCTCTATATAAATCCATGTTACACCCGCATCTTGAATACTGCACACAGCTGTGGTCGCCACATCTCAAAAAAGATATATTGGAATTGGAAAAGGTTCATAAAAGGGCAATAAAAATTATTAGGGGTATGGAATGGCTTCAATATGAGGAGAGATTAATAAGACTGGGACTTTTCAGCTTGGAAAAGAGACAAATAAGAGCAGATATGATAGAGGTCTATAAAATTATGACTGGTGTAGAGAAAGTAGATAAGGAAGTGTTATTTACTCCTTTTCAGAACACAAGAACTAGGGGTCACCAAATGAAATTAATAGGCAGCAAGTTTAAAACAAAAGGAAGTATTTTTTCACACAATGCACAGTCAACCTGTAGAACTCCTTGCCAGAGGATGATGTGAAGGCCAAGACTATAACAGGGTTCAAAAAAGAATTAGATAAGTTCATGGAGAATAGGTCCATCAATGGCTATTAGCCAGGATGGGCCGGGATGGTGTCCCTAGCTACTGTTTGCCAGAAGCTGGGATTGGGCGACACTGAATGGATCATTTGATGATTACCTGTTCTGTTCATTCCCTCTGGGGACACCTGGCATTGGCCACTGTTGGAAGACAGGATACTGGGCTAGATGGACCTTTGTTCTGACCCACTATGGCCGTTTTTATGTTCTTAATGATCAGGACCTTAGATTGTAAACTGAATGGGGAATGTGTCTTAAGCTGTGTTTCTAAAGTGCCAAGATTTATATAGAGGAATATATGATTTTAAATACAGACGCCCCCCAGGTTACGCAATCCCGTCTTACACAAATCCGCACTTACGGAAAAAGTTCCGTAAGCTAGACATAGGAGGGTTTTTTGTTTGTTGTGGGGTTTTTTGCGTAATTGTCGGGTATACGTTTCCGACTTATGCAAAATTTGAGTTACGCAAGGCGTTCCGGAACGGAGTGCTTCCGTAAGTGGGGGAGTGTCTATAATAAATAATTATCAGAAAGGTAATTGTGGAGTTTAATATTTAGGCTTTCTGCTGCAATATTAACCATTTTGTCCATTTAACTTGGTATTAAAGCATCATGGAAAGCATATCTCACTAACACTGACTAGATACCTGAATGGGTGGAAATGCAAAAATGATGTCAGTTCTCAGTGGCTCCTTCCACTGTCAAATGGCTCATAAATGCTTGATTTAATCAAAGCTTAAATTTCCAATACAATTGACAGTTTGTATATTTTGAAGACATTTCACACTCTAAAGCTCTAAACTTTTTTTTTTCAAATTAAAGTTTAAGTAATGAAAATAATAGTGACTTAGCTCCTATATTTCTAGGGGAAATTTTCTATTTGTTATATATAGGGCCCTACCAAATTCACGGCCATGAAAAATGCCTCATGGACCATGAAATCTGGTCTCCCCCATGAAATCTGGTCCTTTGTGTGCTTTTATCCTATACTATACAGATTTCACGGGGGAGAGCAGCATTTCTCAAATTGGGGGTCCTGCCCAAAAGGGAGCTGCGGGGGGGGTCACAAGGTTATTTTAGGGGGTATTGCCACCCTTACTTCTGCACTGCCTTCAGAGCTCAGTGGCTGGAGAGTAGCGACTATTGGCCGGACACCCAGCTTTGAAGACAGCACCCCGCCAGCAGAAGTGCAGAAGTAAGGGTGGCAATGCCATATTATTCCACCCTTACTTCTGCGCTGCTGTCTTCAGAGCTGGGTGGCTGGAGAGTGGCAGCTGCGGACTAAGGGCCTATCTCTGCAAGCAGCAGCACAGAAGTAAGGGTGGCAATACCATACCCTGCCATCCTTACTTCTGCGCTGCTGCTGGCAGCGGCTCTGCCTTCAGAGCTGGGCTCCTGGCCAACAGTCGCTGCTCTCCAGCTGTCCACCTCTGAAGGCAGCACCGCCGCCAGTAGCAGCGCAGAAGTAAGGGTAGTAGTACCATACCCCCTACCCCCTACAATACAACCCCCCCGTACATTAACCTTGCGACACCCCCCCCACACACACAACTCCTTTTTGGGTTAGGACCCCTACAATTACAACACCGTGAAATTTCAGATTTAAATAGCTGAAATCATCAAATTTACTATTTTTAAAATCCTATGACCGTGAAATTGACCAAAATGGACTGTAAATTTGGTAGGGCCCTAGCTATATACTATATACTATTTCAAACCCTGGGTTTAGCGGCTAGTTATTATATACTTTGACAATTAGTTTCTGAAGAATGAAATCTAAGTCATTGTCATAATATGTGGCCGAAAAGTATCTAGAAGAATGATTATTAGTCTCTAAGCAGTGAGTTCTGAGTTAAACTAAGATCAAAATTTCCAATAGCATTTTTCTCAGGTGTACTTGTATGTATCAAGAACTAAGATAATCATTAGTTCATTAGCTTAACGCAGGATGTCTTGCCAGACAAATATTGATATCTAAAGATAGTATATGTTATCTTCTTATGAAAATGTCTCCAATCACAAAATTTCAGAAATGCCTCTATCTTTCTAAAGCACTGTAGCAATTCTAGAGAAAAATATTGTAATGATGGGACATTGGACAAAGTGCACTGGTGCTCTGAGGTGGTACAGAGAATTCTCTTTGAGATGCATGGCTAGCGGATCTTGCTTACATGTTCAGAGTCATACTGATCACCATTTTGGGGATTGGAAAGGAATTCCCCTCCCAAGTTAGATTGGCAGGGACCTCGGGATTTTTGGTTTGGTTTGGGGGTTTTTGTTTTTGTTTTTCACCTTTCTCTGCAGCATGAGTCTAGCTCACTTGCTACGATCATCTACGTATGTCTCACCAAATCCTTTCCCTGCCATTGCAGGGGCCTCAGGCATTCGTGCACCTCAGTCCCTCCTATTCCCTGCCTATGGCACACAGTAGTTTAGTCTTCTGAAGGCTGTAATATTTTAGTCTAATCCAGTTACTGGATTTACTACAGGGCAACTGAGTAGGGTTTAGTAGCCTATGTGCAGGCGGTCCGATGGTCCCTTCTGGCCTCAATCTCTCCAGTGTAGATAATGGAATATAAGCACAAGGACACTTCATCTGTACATAAAATTAGTTAAAAAGTTAGATTTTGTTGTTAGTAAGAAGATTAATTATATAACCATTTAATTAACTTCTCTATCACAGGGAAATGCTTGAACTCTCAATATTTGAATTGAGAAACACGATAACAGAACTTGAAAAAAGACTTAGCAGTGTTGAGGATGAAGGTAAGTGAATAATAATTAATCTCGGCAGGATTCGATTTTAATCGAAAACTGTCAGTAAATGTGGATTTCAGCTGACACACTGACTGGAGTGAGTGAGTGGGTCCCTGACAGCACAGCTGTAGAGAGCTCCCTGTGCTGCCTCAAGGCAGTGACACCTGGTCCCTGTATGCTGGGGGTGAGAGGGGGCTGTGGCCCTGGCAGGGGCGAGCAGAGACTCCTGCTAGGGCTGCATGGAGGAGGAGAGGAAAAGCTCCCCGCTGCAGGGGTGGCTACTGTTTGCTGAATGGCTCTGCACTCACCACCTGGGAGTGCCGGGGATCTCTGCTTTGCCATACCAGTACTGCAGCCTTCTCCACATCTTGTGCCTGCAGGGATCAGTGTCACTGGCCCAGCGGTTGTGCAGGGAGCTCTCTGCAGCTCCACTGTAATGGGAGTGGGGCTGTGACAGCAGAGGGCTCCCTGCACGCCATGGGGCCAGTGACACCCAATCCCTGCAGGCACAAGGTTTCAAGGAGACTGGTTCTGGTCCAGCAAAGCGGAGACCCCTGGCCAAGACTGCAAGGAGCAGGAGAGGAGACTTTGTCGTCCCTGGCCTCAGAGGAGGCCACCCTGCTGCTGAATGGCTCCGTTTCTGGGCAGGAAGCATTCAGCAGCGTGGTGGCCTTTCCTGTAGCCAGGGGATTTGTCATCCTCCTGACCCTGGCCAGGGCTCTCTGCTCTTCCTCTCCAGGACCACAGCCTTCTCTGCACCTTTTGCCTGCAGGAATCTAGTGTCACTGGCCATGCAAGGGAGTTCTCTGCAGCTCTGCAGTCATGTTCCAACTTGCTTGCTCTCCAGCCCTCCCCAGCCAGGAACTGCTTTTATAGTATGTACAGACATACATTTTAACAATGAGAGTAATTAACCACTGGAACAATTTACCAATGGTCATGGTGGATTCACTATCGCAGACAATTTTGAAATCAAGGCTAGATTTTTTTTCTAAAAGATGTTCTAGGAATTATTTTGGGGAAATTCTATGGCCTGTGCTATACAGGAGGTCAGACTAGATCAGTGTTTCTCAAACTGGGGTCCACGGACCCTTGGGGGACCCCAAAGGTATTCCAGGGGGACCCCAAAGGTATTCCAGGGGGACCCCAAAGGTATTCCAGGGGGTCCGTGGGCCCCACTGATCAACTCCTCCCCCACCCTCCCTCAACTCCTCCCCCTTCCTCTATTTCCAGGAGGCTACTGAAGCCAAACCGGGAGATTTTAGGTGGTAAAAGTCCGGCAGTGCAGCGGGGCTAAGGCAGGCTCCCTACCTGCCCTTGCTCTGCACCGTTCCCAAGAGTGGTTGGCACGTCCCTGCGGCCCCTGAGGGAGGCAGGGGGGTTTCCACGCACTCCTCCCACTCCGAGTGCCGACTCCGCAGCTCCCATTGGCCAGGAACTGTGGCCATTGGGAGCTATGGGGGCAGTGTCTGCAGGCAGGGGCAGCGCCCGGAGACTCGCTGGCCCCCCCACCCAAGAGCCGCTGCCAGAGAGATGTGGCAGTCGCTTTTGGGAGCCGCCTGAGGTAAGCGTCAGCTGGCCAGATTCTGCACCCCTCACCCCCTCCCGTACCCCAATACCCTGCCACAGTCCAGAGCCCACACCCCACACCCAAAATCCCTCCCAGAGCCCTCACCCCCTACTGCATCCAAACTCCCTCCCAGAGCCCACACCCCCTCCTGCACCCAAACTCCCTCCCACAGCCTGAACCCCTCACCCCCTCCTGCACCCCAACCCCCTGCCTCAGCCTGGTGAAAGTGAGTGAGGGTGGGGGAGAGTGAGCGATGGAGGGAGGGGGGATGGAGTTAGCGAAGGAAGGGAAAAGGTGGGGAGAGGGTGGGGCCTTGGGGGAAGGGGTGGATTGGGGGTGGGGCCCGGGGCTGAGCAGGGGGGCTTGGGAGTCCCCGAAAAATTTTAAATCAAAATGGGGATCCTCTGGTTGCTAAAGTTTGAGAACCGCTGGACTAGATGATCACAATGGTCCCTTTTGGCCTTGGAATCTATGAATCTTGAAGATGTAATAAAGACTACAAAAGTACATTAGCCATGTATTTTGTATTATTTCACATATCATGAATGAAAAATATAAAAAAACATAAGTTTCAGTTACTGGATGAAATCCTGACCTCACTGGGTATGTCTACACTGCAGTGTAAGACCGTGTTTGTCCCCACCCCTTTGTGTCTACACTGCAATTGCGCTAACCAAGAGCGTAGACCCAAGGTTCCAGGACCCTGCAGGGCTATCAGGTCCAAGTTAAAGTCAAGCTGGGACCCAGGGTCCGAGTCTTATTGCTTTGCAGTGTAGCCACAGCCCCATTTGACTCAGGTCCCCAGAGTCATCCGGAGTATCCCACAATTCCATGGGACAACTTCTTTAGTCCTCTCTATCCCAACAATTTGCAATCTACTCTGTTGAAAACAGAAACACCCCTTCCCCTGGGAAACGGCAGCAGCTCAGGTCAGTGTTAACCCATTCTGTTCTGATTGCTGATCTGCAGACATACTATCAGGGAGCTTCCCCTGGGTTTGTAATGGAGAGCAAACCGATCAAGCCTTTTGCAGAGTGAGCTGCTTCCTGGTAATGTGCAGAGCAGGCAGTAAAGTTTTCCCACAGTGCACCACGTTTCTAGAGCTAGAGCGGGTCTCATTTCAGAGGGCAGGGGGCGAGCTAGGGGTTCTGGGATATGGTTACTGTGACTCGGGTCTGCCCACTGACTGCAGTGTGGACGCCAGAGCCTTACGGTCCAGCACAGGTCATGAAATTCTTAATTTAGGGTTAAAATACAATGTAGATGCTCAAGCCCAGGGGTTCCTGGACACGGGTCAGCTGACTCTACATTGCAGTGTAGACGCACCCACAGAAGTAAATTGCAAAACTCCCATTGACTTCCAGGGGGCCAGTATTTCACCTAGTATCTTTTTCAAGTTCCCTTGTTTGTAAATGGACACTTTCTTGGTTACACAAATGTGGGGTGCCAGGCTCCAAAAGGAGGTGGAGTCATTCTGAAAAAGGCAATTTCTAATTCTAGTGGTATGAATTAAATTTTGGAAATAAATATAGTAACTTTGTGTTTCTTTTGAGGTAATGAATGGAAAACCAGGTATGAGACACAAGTAGAATTGAACAGACAACTAGAAAGGCAAACTGGTCTTCTTCAAGAAAAGATGGAACATATTTGTGGAAATCCAACAGGTAGAAATGTGCATTCATAGATATATTAATATATAATTTTATGAATACTAGAGAAAAATATCAAGGTATCACATATTTTGCTTATTTACAGATAGATTGTCTTCTATTACAGATAGATTGTCTTCTATTCGCTCCTTTGATCAAATGCCTGTGGTGAGTAGATTGGCGTTTAATTGCATAAGCATCTAACAATTCATTGTAGCTAAGGAAATTATTAAATAATTTCAGCCATTTGCAGCCCAGAAAAGAATCAGTGACTCTATCCAGAAGCCACAAAAATCAACGCATTTATTTTTTCATTGTTTCACCTCTGCAGTTGTTTATTATCTTGTAAGACCTATAGTAAAACAAGTAAATAGAGGATACATAAGACATGAATCCTGGGATATATTATCTTACATATTACAGTGGGAGTTTTTACTGAGTAAAGACTGCATGATTGGGTGCTAAATCATGAGTCAAACCTGGACAGTTTCAATTCATAATTTATATAATGTATATTCTCGATGCATTTAGTACTATTACAAATACATTGTACACAACATATTTATGGGGAAATCCTCACTGTAGAATAAACGTTATATTTGTACAATACAAAATGGCTTAAGCATTTAAATTTCTTTAACTTCACTTCCTCCAAAGCCATGCAGACTTCACATTCACCCAAAGACTGAAAAATTGACCAGTATGAATGAGGCTGGTTAGGGAATGGCACTCGGGAACCACAGAGACCTTCACCCATAATGTGGGTGCACAAGGGGGCAGAGTGAAAACAAAGTTGAATTCTGGATTTTTCTTTTGTTTTTTAACCTCTCAAGCTCCAGATACTCTTATTTTAAGGCCCTTTGCTCCTCCCATTCTGTTGTCCATCAGGGAACTAAGAAATAGAGAATCCATGTAATATAGGCAGAAGTAATATAAAGTACGGCAATGTGACACTGTGAAATGTTCCTTCCAGCTTGGGAGCTCACGGGAAAAACTCTGAGTGGTTCAGGCTTTCCAGATTGGATGGGAGGAGGTTGAGCCAGGATGTAGCTGCATTGTATATTAAGCTCTCTTCCCAACCCAGTGCATTTCCAAATGGAAGTGTGTGTTTTGGAATTAATACTGCTCCAAGCACAATTAAATTCTCTCTATAGCTCTGACCCCCTTAGATGGAGGTTTGGGCACATCTATGATGAAGGAAACCAATAACAGCACAATTTCTAAGGGATCTGTTCTGCCAGAAGGCAGAGAAGGAATCGAAAAAGGAGCATAGAGGGGCCTGCACTTTTTCATTGGTATCTAAGAAACTTCTGGGTTCCCAGGGTATGCCCCTGCCCTGTCCATGACGCCTCCCTCACTCTTATTCCTCAGGAACTGCAGGTGTTCAGGCTTTCAGATTTATCCAAACCTTTTTTTTTTTTGCTCCTGTAAGTTTGTCTGTGAGAAAATGGAAATATTTAGCCCTTTGAAGATTAGAATGAGAAACTGACATTTCTTAATGGACAGGAGCAGGGAGATCAGCAGCTAGCCATCATCCTACTTATGTTCAGTATTTTTAATGTTATTTATTAAAACTTCAAAGTCCCAAACTTGCCATTACATATGAGATCCTATGAAGACATCCATATAATGTTTTTTCTAAATGATATGCTGTAGTTCAAACAGAAATTAATTCAGGGAAGTCTTATGGCCTGTGTTATACAAGGTCAGAGTAGATGATCACAGTGGTCTCTTCTGGCCTTGTGAGCTAAATAATGCTTCCAGTAGATATCATGCCATTTCTACAGTGTCCCAATACTGGATAATGGATTCCTTTCTGGAACATTGTAGAACGATAAAGTCTATTAGTTCTTGTCATCTTTATGTTATTTTTAAAACACCTTCAGGAGTTTAAGAATTTATGGGATTGAAAGACTGTGATAAATCTAAAAAGTTAGGTACTGGTATGAGAACTCTTTTTTGACTAGAGAAGATGGAATGAATACAAACAAATTACCTTTGTTTCATATTATTTTTTATTTATTTGTAAGTAGCACGTATGAACCCCATTGAGCTAGTCCTGTACAAACACAGACCAAGACGACCCAAAGAGCAAATTGATGCCAGTAATATAATACCATGTATGTGTTTGCCAGACACCCACAACACATTGTCTGGCAAAAGTCTACTTTCTCCACATTCCACTCTCTGCTTTTAAAAGCTACAGGTCTCGTTTTTGAGCACCAACAGGGTAATGACAAAAATAAGCACTCAGGTACCACGGCAATGAGCAAGTTATAAGAATCTAAATAGAATGGAATAGTTTACACCACGGCAAACTCTTGGATGGTGGATAAGGAAGCACACTGGATTTTCCATACCCAGAAATTGAAATAATTGCTTTCAAAGGTCAATACCATTGGCTGTATGGACTTGGAATATTGCTGAGGAATTTTTCCTTGCTTTGGAAAAGGTGTAGTTCATTCATGTTTAAACACACAGGTATTATTTTGATGATCTCATTTTGACTTGAAATTTCCTGTTTGTTCATTTGTTTCCAAAAGTGATGATGGTGTCATCCCCTTCAAATAGCACAATAATATAGAACCAATAATACAAACCTTTACTTCTTTATAAGTGGAGATTAGAAAATCATTTCTGCATGTTGAGGTTGGATATTGAAAAGCTCTGAAATAGAACTTCTATAGTGAAGACTATTAGTCATAACTTCCTTTGTGCCCCAGTGAATAATACACAGGCTGTACTGTAATTCAGCAATAATTATGAAGAAATTGAAAAGCAGTTCCTTTGAAACCTAGCCCAATGCGAATTTTACTTCCTCGTTAGATAAACCAGTTAGCATTTGTTCACTTCTTTTTTGTTAAGCAATATTATGTGAAATATACATAGGCTGTCGCCTAAATATCATTTCCCATGCTAGGAGACAAAAATATTCATATTTTTTTTCTCTCCTTATAGTTACTGCAAGAAAGCCTCCCTAGACAGAGGCTTTATTATGCAAATAGAGGAAGGCATACTGCAGAATCAGTTCAGAAGAACACACTTCAGATAGCATTGCCTTAGCAACGCTCTAGTTAAGATTAGCTGCGGAACCAGGGTTTCTATTATAAATCACTGTGTTCAGCATTGTCCAGCATCATGATTGAGGAAATTCAGAAATTATTGTTCAGGCATTTGCTTTGCAAAACTGCATTGTAGTGAAAATGCTGGATACATATTAGCCACATACAGGCCATCCCTGTACCTTACTGGGGTTCCGCAATTGATGTTACACCACTAGCAAAGTGTGTGCGATGGTGTCACATTGGAGAAAGAGCTGAAAACACAACACAGACTGGGTATCTGGATCCTAAGAAGATGTATGTTGAAATTGTTCTCTGAGCCTTTGTGTGGGGGACATCAGCACTTTGCCAAGGTGGAGGAAATTTTGACAATTCCCTTAGCGGGTCACCTTTCACTGAACTTCACTGACCTTGTTTGCTTAAGTCTCAAATAGGGATGTGTGAAAAGTATGTCTGAGTTTCTTTCTCTTTGCAAACTTCAATACCAGCTTGGAAAAGGGTCTGCACCGGTCCCTGAGATGTCCCTGATACAGTTTAGAAAGGCAGCAAGCTGGTCCCTGGTATCAAAAAGGTTGAGAAATACTGCTCTAGACCTCTACAACACACCTTATGTGTCCAGGAGACCCCTGTTAACCTAGCTTCCCCTGCCTCATTGCCATCCTGGTATGGGATGTTCTTCCTTTGATATCTTTGGTCACACCAAGTGGTTACTTTCCTTGTCTTTATATGGTCTTCAGTGGGGCAGGAAACACCTGCTTTTTCTCAGCAAGGCAATAGGAGCAGAGGAAAATCCTGCTACCAGCCCTTCTTACAGCTATACAACTGGGTATTATAGGTCTTCTGTTCCCTAGCTTGTCGCTGGTCAGAAACCCTGGTGGTTCCCTAGCATCTCCTGGGTTGGCTCGGAAAAGAGGGTGCTCCTTGGAACTTGATGTTCATGTAGAACCTGAACCAGACTGTGCCAACCCCTGAGCCAAACAAACTGACCTCGGCAGAGTTCATGCAGCCTGTCATAATCTTCATATTATTTTTTAATATAGCTTTAATGTGAATTATTATATTAGCCACAAGGGGGCACTTGGTATTTAAATATGCATAGCCCTCCTGGGTTCAGCTATACTGAAGCCTTTAGTGTTCAGTGCACAAAATCTCACGTGTACAGTATACGCAGAAACATGCTTTGCTAAAGAACTTTAATATTTCATTTTGTCACAGTAATTATTACAGTAGGAAATTAGTGACAGTTTATCAATAGAGCTAAAAATGGAGTTCAATTTCAGTAACATGAAAGATGCAGCATTACTTTTTGCACTAGGTTTTCGATTTAATTACTTCAGCTGATAGACATACCTCCTGGTGTTGGAAGGAAAAGAGTTTATTTTCTGGGTGAAACTACATGTGATTTCAAATGTCAAGTAGAATAGATTGTAGAGGCTTCATGGTTTTTTTTACGTGCCAAACAAATGTATTGCTTATGTGGCTACCTGGTAGAGGAAAATCGAAGAGGATTAAGGCTGGAGTGAATTGCCGCTAGACCATTAGATAGCTCAAGTCAGTCTCTGGTGAAAGTAAGTTTTCTACGTTGACGATGTCACCTGTTTGTCACTGTGGATATGGAGGAGTGATTGATGGAAATTGTCATCTGCATTCCTAGTGGTAGCAATACACTGAAAAATCCACTGTGAAAACAGCTTGTGTGGGTGGTTTTAAAATCCAACTGTAATATAAATCTGCATAATTTCATTTGCTGGCAGGTGTTAAGTCAACAGCATACTTCGGAGGGAATAAAAAAAGAAAAAGCGTGGGGATAAATGCAGAAAAGATTAATTGGGGGGGTTTCCCTTTACTGTGAAGCTTTGGATATTGGTCACTGCTGGAAACTAGACTTGATGGATCATTGGGCTAATAACATATTTGCTAGTGAAGAATTCAGTTATGTAAAGAAGACTCTCAAGGTATTATTTTAAAATTGCAGCATGTCTTTTAGCCATCAACTCACTCAGAGTGACTTGACAGGCAGTTTAATGAAAACTAAGAATTTTAAATCCCTTAGTCAGCTTATGTCTCCTTTCCAGGAATACATTGTCCGGCTATTCAGGATTTAGC